TCACTGCTGTCAATGGTACATTTAAACGAACTGGGAATGTTGAGGATTCCGACGATGAGGGACTAACTATAACATCGGTAGGGGAAGGACTACTTTTTACAGCACTTGATGATTTTATATTTCCATATTTTGAAGAGGCAATTTTGCGTTCTTGGGGTTTCACCATCATTTTTGTACTTGTATCATGATAAGTAAAATGGCGCCCAACGTTACAGCAATTGTTCAAATCAGAAACATTTGCATCACACAGATTTGTATTTTGAGTCGCCCTTAATTTACCTCCCTCCACATTTTTTGAATTGTTATTCCCGGTAGGTTTTATGGGATCTTTAATAAGTCCCAATTTCTTCATGCGATTACGTCTATGCCATTCTTTCAATTCTAGATTTCTAAATTCCGAATCATTTGATGAAGAATATTTGAAAAGATTCAAACGACTTCTACTAAGGCTAGGCTTCTCGGCAGGAACCTTCATTTGTTTGTTACTCGACTTGGCCAACAATTCATTTATATTGTGAATTGGAAACTTCTCCAATGGTGGTGGATGTTTCCAGGTCTTAAGACGATCAGTCGGTTCCAATATGATTTTCATATGTGATACATCATTTAGCTTCCTCCCACCATTCACTGAGATACGATTACGCAAAACATCATCAATTGTCATTAGATCATTTTGTATCGACGAACTGACCCTCATTGCTTCGGGTAGTGAACCCAAATTTCCCTTGACATATTGATTTCGCAGCGGCATTAAACATTTGGCAATGGAATCATGTAGGTGACCACCACTATGATATGAACGAGCCATAATATTCAATTGGGTTTGAAAGGAGGACTGGTGTTTACGACGCTTATCCTCATGCCTGCGGAAGAGACTTGAACGGGAACTACTAGCACTGGAACCATAACGTCTCGAACCATATATTTTTAAATTGGGAGATTTTATGGGTTTCTTTTGATTGAGAACCGTATTGATGGTAGCCGTACTTTTCTTACGAATTTGTTGGTTATTTTGATTTCTCAAACCCAATATTTGCATCAGACGTTCGTGATTAAGTTTTGGGGGCTTGGAGCGGGCAGATTTCTTCACGGGTACGTTCGTTGTTTGTGGTATTATTTTTGTGTCCTGTTGTTCCGTCATTTGTTGTGATTTAAAGGTTCGTATGGGAGCTTTGTTTTCGGGACGTTCGGCAGCTATTTTGGGGGGCTTATGATCTGTAAATAGAACCTCATTACTCATAATACATTCACAAGGTACCCTCATGTTACCCTTCCTAAACGTAAACGGCATTTGTTTATAGATCTTTTGTATGTAGGTATTGACAATCTCATTGGTATTTTTCGATAGTACCCAGGGCTGTAGGAATTGAATTGAATTTTAGAATCTGATTTTTTTTCTTAAATTTTAGCTGGTCCATACTCACATTCAAATGAAAATTGTTTTGTACAATTTTCTGTATATTATTGCTGGCCATATTTTGAGATTTTTTATTTATTTTTTTAATAAGACCTCAAAGGGAAAATTAATTATTAAAAATATAAAAATTTTTGTAACAAAAAAGTCGAACACGAAATAAATTAATAAAAATATAATGATTAGAAATGCAAGGTATACTGTTTCAGAAACAGTTAAGAAGTAAATATGTATTGATTTATTCCAGACAAAATATATTTATTTAATTATCCGAAATATTGAAATTGGTGAGATGAGACGTCCACACTTATGCACCACTCCCTTCAATACAGGACTATTTCCCTTTAGATTGACTCTAGTGACCCATACATGGAATGCATGGGGGTACCAGTCAAATATGTTACTACAAAGGTGGAAGTGTACATACCGCCGATTAATAGCTGTGAACCGCGTTATTTACCTAACATTAGATTCCTATTGGAGGGCAATAACCGTATCGTACAAGGGAATTTCCAGAGAGGAACCGTGCTGGCGGAGCAAATTGATAGCTCCACGTTCTGCACGGTAAATGACGATGCCCAGACCAGAATAAGGGAATAGTGTCACAGTTCCCGAAACTGTTTAGCCTCTACTTTTCCGGTATTACACCCCCTCCGAACGGCATCGAGATCGTAACATATGCCAATGATTGTACGATCAGGCGTCGGATCCTATTGTTGAGGACATATGTGTGAGGTTGAGGACATTATTCACCACATGGACTGCGGAGAAGTCGTCTCAATTCGTTGGGTACGGATAGATGGCCAGCGTTTATTCAATTGTCCTTCTAAATCTACCCGACTTACTACAGAAGATGTATGGTTGCAGCCACTGGAAGTAGCTGCATATCTTAACTTGTAGACAGAACCTGATTCAATCAAATGGAATAACAACATTCATATAAACTGCTACAACAACAACCACAGGGACATTTGGTAGAATAATGGAGTGTTTCCACATATATATACATATATATATATATATTGAACAAAATGCGTTGCGTTGTTCCCATTTTGATCTTGCGATATTTGAATTTTTGGCTACGCAACTCAACGAAGGATTGCCAACCATTAGGGTAGTTGGTATCACTGGGAATGGTGGAGTTTGTCTAAGGTCTAAGGCTGCCACAATGGTCCGTTCATGTGGTCGTCGCTAAGTGAGGCCTTTCGCAAAATCGGAAGTAATTTCTTGCAAATCCGTCGTTGTGCTACATGTTGTGCTACACGTTGTGCTACATTGTTAGCAAGAACGAAATGCTGTATCAGGGACAGAAGCAATAGGGACTCCAAAAACCTTGGCTACTGTAGTAGATCGGCCAGTAGTAGATTCCTGGAGTATGGGAACATACCAAATTTCGGTTATTTGGAGTTTCTTGCAGATTCGCGACGAAGGAAATATTTCAAATACTTAGCAGGCTTGTAACAGAACATTTGCTCAATAAGCCAAGCTTTAAAATGGGTTTCAGGCGCGTCGGTCTTGTGCGCAGCTCTTCCAATTTGAAAGACCATGATCCGAGATGTCGTCTTCCACTTGATATTTCCATCGAATTCGTGGCTCGCCCCTTCTATGTGATCGATCACTTGGCTCGTTTTTTTACGCCTTTTCAAACGGTGGCCATCCTCATCCATTCTCACAACATAACCAAGCCAACGAAGTCGCTGCAGCTCAGTACGTCGATGACCGAGACTAGATGATACAACACATGGTTCATTCGACGGCGATATTCACCGTCGACGCAGGGTCATACGAGAGGCAATAGATCGGCCCATAGATCTTTTGGAGAATTTTTCTCTCAAGCACTCCAAGAACTACCTCATCTGCTTGCGCAAGTACCCGTGCTTCAGATCCATATAACAGCACGGGTAGTATCAGCGTAGAGTGTGAGTTTGGTCCGTCGGCCCATAGATCTTTCGGAAAATTTTTCTCTCAAGCACTCCAAAAACTATCTCATCTGCTTGCGCAAGTACCCGTGCTTCAGATCCATATAACAGCACGGGTAGTATCAGCGTAGAGTGTGAGTTTGGTCTGGCGAGAGGTGGCATTTCTCTTGAATTGCTTACTCAGGCCATAGTAGCATCTGTTGGCCAACACTATTCTACTCCAGATTTCAAAACTCATGTCATTAGTTTTATATATGACGGTGCCGATGTATATAAAATCTTCAACTACCTCGAAGCTGCAGTTCTCAAGTTCCACAGTTGGCCCGAGTTTACTGGACGTCTTGTACGTTGATACCATCAGCTTCGTCTTCTCACCAGAAGTGGATCTGGCACTTCTCAATGTGTTCAAAGATGGCTGTTGCCGCTCTCTATGTTCCACTTATTATGTCGATATCATCGGCGTAGGCGAGTAACATATGTTGTTTGGTGTACAGAGTGCCGTTTCAGTACCCCATCGCCTCTCGTATGACCCTTTCCAGCTAGATGTTAAAATGATCACACGACAGAACGTCACCTTGGTTGAATCGCCGTTCGGTATTAAAGGGCTCCGAGAGGTCCTTCCGGACTGCTATGCTGTGTCTTGTGCCAGTTAAAGTTATCCTGCACAGCCGTATTAATTTTGCGGTGATGCCGAATACAGACATGACTTTAAAAACCTCTGAACGGATATGGCTGTCGAATGCGGCTTTATAGTCATTGACCATTAGCTTCAGTCGTTCACACAGCACACTGAATAGCACTTTATATGCGATGGGAAGGAGACATATTCCCCTATAGTTGGCACATATCGTCTTGTCTCCTTTTTTTGTGCACGGGAAACAGGATGCTGAGGTTCCAATCATTGGGCATACATTCCTCTAGCCAAATTGTACTAATGGTGTATGCTCTTGACCAGCATCAGGTTTTGAATAGTTCTTAAATTAAAAACAAACACATATACAAAATTACAGACTTCGATATTCATTAATGCAGTAGAGTTCGAATATTTGCATACTCAACGTTATCAAAATATGTAAAATTTTCCAAGTAGTAACTTTTCTTTTACAATATTCTACTTAGTGAAAACACACATAATTTTTTTTAGATTATACATTTTATTGCACATTAACATAAATATGTATATACAAAATGCAGTAGGTATATATCGCATATAATATAGAAGCACATTTTTGTATTGCTTATAGCTAAATAAAATACATGCAATTATAAAAATTACATCAAATTATAAGGGTGCAAGTCTAATGAAGAGGGTTATGCTTGGACAGATTTAGGATCATTGTCATCATTGGGTATACTAAAGGAATCAAAGAAAAAAAGAGCGAACAAATGGGTCCGACAGTTTGAAAAGTACTTTCCTGTTTAAACATATTTTAGGACCCTCACTATCTTTCCATACGTTTTTGATAACAATGATACTAAACCTAAGCCAAGCATAATACCCCTCTATCCATTGCGTTGCACCTCTACATATAAATAATAATAATATTAATAACTCTGTATGCTATAATATACACAACAACATAAAAACTATGAAAAAATATTGCAATAAATTCGCGTTCGGATTTTGTGACAGTTTGCATGGAGCACCATCGGCCACCTCCAACCACTTAACCAAATTTAATGGATTTTTCAGTGGATTTATTACTACTGCCGTTGGACGAACTGTTGCGATTGCCATTCTTTAAAATACCACCGACACTAGGGGTGGTGCCAGTGCCAGATGGGGTGTTATTAGAACCACCGCCACCACCAGCACCATTGATGGAGGTCTTTTGCAATTTATTTGCCATCTCGGATACACTGTAGGTATTATTGAAATTGACATTTTGATATTCATATTGTTGCGATGGATGGTGATGTTGGGACGAATGTTGATGTTGATTATGGTGATTATGTTGTTGTTGATGGTGATTCTGGTGCTGATTCTGCTGTTGCATTTGTTGTTGACTTTGATGTAGTGGACAATTACGCTGATGTTCCAACACCGAACCATTTGTCTTTTTCAATTTTGACCTTGACAGGGTGCTGTGCAATTCACTTTGTAGCGTTTCATGGTGATATGCTCCATTTGCTGCTGATGTTGCGGGATCACCATCATTACGTTTTATTGTTGAACTAATAAAATCAAACTTTTCCGGTTCTTTACGAGCACCCGGCTGATGATATTCTCCAATGGTAACGGTACCCAATCGTAGAGTTTGACGATTTTGACTGGTGGGGGGACATGGGACAGAGGTTGTATTCCGATTAGAATTACGATAAAGGGAAGATTCACTGGCCGCACCATTTGAAGATGATGTTGATGATCTTAGCGTAACACTGGAAGATGATTCATTAGAATACAAAGACGTCGAAGATGATTTGGATGAATTAAAGGCCTGGGATTTTTGTGAAAACGGTTGGGTTTTTAGATTGTTGCTGTTGTTATTCGATGGCGGTGACATCAACTGCATGGGCTAAATGGAAAGAAAAGGCAAACAAAACACAAGGTAGATAAGTGGATGATTAATTGTTAAAATTAAATTATTTACCGGTGGTTTTGGTATATGACTGATGTTGTTATTATTATTGTTATTGTTGCTGTTACTTTCATGCAGTTGTGTCTTTTCTTTTGTATTTTCCACTGTCTCAATTTTACTCGGCAGTTTGGTACCCTTTGCACGATACGTCGTTGGGTCATCCATCATCGTTGTACGTTTTAGAGCTTCTTGGCGGTCCTATTAATAAATAAATATTCAAATCGGATTATAAAATTTAATACATACAAATTTAAATATTAAAATGCAAAAGAAAGTAAAATATTTTTAATTCGAAAAGGAAGAATATTGAAATCATTAAAATGTTAATATTTTCTTTAAGAAAACTAATTTTAATTTTGTGATGAAATCTTGATATTATGTATTTTGGTTGTAAAATCGGTGTTTAAATATTGTAGTTGTCTGTAAATGCCTTGTTGACCACGAACCATCGGCCCACGACCCTTTTCAATGTCTATGTTTTTACATAGACATTCCCCCTACAAGTCCATACGTCTGTATCGGAACTTGTACACTATTAATAGGCATACGAAAAGTATTTTCTTCTCTCCGAAAACTCCAACTAGCAACTTACAGTCACATTAAATTCAAAATAAAGCAATGACCTTCAAAATATCTGAAGTGGGCAGGAACTATACACAGAAAAAATGTTAATGATTATTTTCATAATTTCATTCATAGTCAATTTTTTACCATATTGTACATGTACCTCGCTTTGAATACAAGCAAAAATTCTTATAATCATAAGAAAGAAACTATTTTTCAAAACAAACCAGTAAGAAGAGAAGTAAAGTCAGACTGGGCCGACTATATGATACACTTCACCACTTTGGGTATATTCTATATATGTATCCTAACAGACGTCGCGTGTTTGTTATATATCTATATCTGAACCGATTTCAGGGAAACTTGCCAGAGAATAATTTATATTACTTCAGTACGTTGTGTCAATCGGCCTAGCTATGGATCTTTTCACGAAGCTTAGCAACATCATTCTAGACTTAATTCAGTACCTTATACCAAAATTCGTGCAAATCTAAAGATATTTGGACTTTGGTGCACCAATTACATAAAATTGGTCGAAAATGTATATGGGAGAACCATCTAAATTTGAACCGACTTTCACGAAACTTAACAGTAATTCAGTACGCTATGACAAATTTCGAGCAAATCGAATGATTTTCAGAGACTTTGGTGCACCAATTACCTAAAATCGTATATATATATGGGGGCATGGCGCACATCATTCTAGACTTAATTCAGTACGCTATGCCAAATTTCGTGCAAATCGAAAGATATATAAGGACTTTGGTACACCATTTCCCTTAAATCGGATGAAAATATATATGGGAGCTATTTTGTTTTTGCAAAATAGTCAGGCTTAATCCCAGTTTGTTGTTTTTATAAAAAACAACTATTTATTAGTGGGGAATGTATGGCATTGTCCGCCGAGGGGTAAGGCAGGCAGTTGTCTGTAAATGCCTTGTTGACCACGAAGTCAGGCGCCAACGAAACGAACTTCTCATTGGGGTCGTATCGCTGGTAACGTAAGAACTTCGAATTGTCACAAGAGACATTTGGGTTTGAAAGGTTTTTTGTAAAGAAGCTATTAATAGCTTCTGGGGAGAATATCCCAACAAAAAACTAAGGGAACTGATGAGGATCAGTGGCGAGATCCGAAACTATAGTCTTCCCTACCTTACCCCTCGGCGGACAATGCCATACATTCCCCACTAATAAATAGTTGTTTTTTATAAAAACAACAAACTGGGATTAAGCCTGACTATTTTGCAAAAACAAAATAGAAATGGTATCCCAAATAACCCGCCAACACTACTGAAGTTGTAGACGAGGCACGGTCATACTGTTTGGTTTATTGCTTTAACTAGCGATACCAACAACAACGTTATGTGCATTCGTCACAAAGTGACGACACATAGCAGTGGGAACTGTAATGTAGTTGTCTGTAAATGCCTTGTTGACCACGAAGTCAGGCGCCAACGAAACGAACTTCTCATTGCGGTCGTATCGCTGGTAACGTAAGAACTTCGAATTGTCACAAGAGACATTTGGGTTTGAAAGGTTTTTTGTAAAGAAGCTATTAATAGCTTCTGGGGAGAATATCCCAACAAAAAACTAAGGGAACTGATGAGGATCAGTGGCGAGATCCGAAACTATAGTCTTCCCTGCCTTACCCCTCGGCGGACAATGCCATACATTCCCCACTAATAAATAGTTGTTTTTTATAAAAACAACAAACTGGGATTAAGCCTGGCTATTTTGCAAAAACAAAATAGAAATGGTATCCCAAATAACCCGCCAACACTACTGAAGTTGTAGACGAGGCACGGTCATACTGTTTGGTTTATTGCTTTAACTAGCAATACCAACAACAACGTTATGTGCATTCGTCACAAAGTGACGACACATAGCAGTGGGAACTGTAATGTAGTTGTCTGTAAATGCCTTGTTGACCACGAAGTCAGGCGCCAACGAAACGAACTTCTCATTGGGGTCGTATCGCTGGTAACGTAAGAACTTCGAATTGTCACAAGAGACATTTGGGTTTGAAAGGTTTTTTGTAAAGAAGCTATTAATAGCTTCTGGGGAGAATATCCCAACAAAAAACTAAGGGAACTGATGAGGATCAGTGGCGAGATCCGAAACTATAGTCTTCCCTGCCTTACCCCTCGGCGGACAATGCCATACATTCCCCACTAATAAATAGTTGTTTTTTATAAAAACAACAAACTGGGATTAAGCCTGACTATTTTGCAAAAACAAAATAGAAATGGTATCCCAAATAACCCGCCAACACTACTATGGGAGCTATATCTAAATCTGAACCGATTTTTCCCAATTTCAATAGGGTTCGTCCTTGGGCCAAACAAATGAGCTATGCCAAATTTCATCCAATTCGGATCATAAATGCGACCTGTACTTTGTTTACAATTTAACATGGACAGACGGATCGACATTTCATTTATATCACAACTATTTCCAACTTTAACACTATTTGTGCTTATCTAAAGATATGAACAGAAGCGAAGTGCATTTTATACACTCAGCCTTATGGCTAATGATTATACCCTCAGTCTATGGCTAATGAGGGTATATACACTTCGATACGGTAAAAATGTGCCTCATCGGAATATTTGCTTCTTTAGACTAAATCCGATTCAGACAATTTGGAGTCGATTTTCAAATGTCCGTGCGTTCGTCTCTCTGGTCGGCTGGTGCGCACGATAACTTTGGAAGGGAGTATCCGATTTCATGCAAACGTTGCACATCGTAGTATTTTTACAAAACTTAGTTCAAGTTTGATGATGAGGAATATCTGTCCATTCCTTCTGGCACCTCCCCAACAAAATGGTCAAAATTTTCCTAAAAAATGTTTTAATAATATCATGCGAACAATTCGATTTGAATCAAACATTGCACAGCCTATTATCATTACCAAGCCTAGATCATGTCCGAAGATGGGACCCATTGGTCCGCTCATTTCAATATTTGTCGATCCAATATCAGGCGAACGGAATATTTACTAAGCCTAGATCAAATCCGAACATGGGAAACACTCCTTCTGGTACCTCCCCCACAAAGGATCGACATTTTTAAAATAAAAAATAAAATGTATCCGTGTCCATTGTCTGTCCATTTGAGTTAGAGCTTCTAGCTCAAGTATGGTTGGTATTGCAAATGGGGCACCCCGAAATATTCGGTATTATGGTGGGCTGTATTTTAATACTTTAAGTTCTCATTGGATATCAAATCTTCGTACCGGAAGCTCCATTGTAACCATACCCTTATTATTCAGTATTTTGGGAATTAAAAACGCGTTTTCAACAGAATCTGCTATATTTTGCTATTTTAAATTGACGTGGGCCACGAAAAAAAGATCAACATTTGCTCATGTTTTGGCGTAGTCCCCATATAATGATACCACCCAAAATTCGGTATTTTTGGTGGTAATTTGTTTTTTTATAGATAAAAGTTTTGGTATAACCCAACATAAAAGCTGGGCTTCATATTCGGTATTAACAATTTTGTAACCGAATTTTCTCATGAAAGTGATATATCGGCTTCTTGGTGAATACAACCCGGTCCAACTTAGCGACGTTTTTACACCTTTTAAATAATTCTTTCTTATTTATTTGGTCGAAGGACTAACACTATTGAAATTTGTGAAAATCGGTTCAGATTTAGATATAGCTCCGATATTTATAACGATCCGTGGTAAAGGCCGAAATTGAGCATAGCGTACAGAATTTAATGTTAATTTCGTGAAATTGTGGTAACATTGTTCAAAATTGAGCCTAGAACGACTATGCTCAAAATCGAGCCAAATATGAATCTATTAGTCCCGGAAGTTGCTATATCATGTTTCAAACCCGATAAGTCATTGTAAGTCCTCATCGATTTGACAATGTTTATGTCTCACAAATCAGGCCATATCGATTCCAACATTTTTTTTTCAATATTGACAATATATTTTTTATATTTAATTTATATTAACTTTCTTCGTTTTGTTGTTTGTCTAGACCAGTGATTGTTTTTGTGTGTGATTGCTTCTTGTTGATAAGATAAATATTAAATACAAACAATAAAAAAACAACAAAACATAAACAAACAATGTTGAATCATAGCAAAAAAGTAATTAGCAACTAAAAAATTATCAACAACAAGCTGACTTTTGCAACCGACTGTTGTTCTTCATGTTGTTGTTATTATTGTTATTTTTACAGTTTTGCCGGTAAACAAAAGGGGTATTGCTAAACCCCTTCAGACACATACCTCATAGGTACTGAACGTAACCAAACATTTTCCACTGCGTGCGGGTTTCATTGTAGCATGCACCAGCGTTGTGGTGGTGGTGCTGACGGCAGCTGGCGATGTTGCTGCCGCTGTTGTCGTTGTTGGAGTGGATGTTGTTGTAGCTTCATTATCAATGGAGTTTTGCATTTTGTTGTTACCTCTGCTTCTTCCACTATCACTGGTATCTTAATTTAACGTTTTTTTTTCTCTACTGATGGTGTCGTTACACTTGTTTTTGTTGGTATTTTGTTTTGTTACGATCTTTCGTTGGTGTAGCTTTTCTTTTTCAAATTTAAATTTAATTGAATTGGTTTGGGTGAATGACAAACCAACCAAACGTCAGTCACTATCACCTGCGAGGTATTGGCAACTAACTAACTAGCGGACACAACTCCTTACACTTCAACGTTTCGAACAGAAATAAATAATTGTTAATTATATCTATTGTTTTTGTGTTTTGTTCGAAGTTGTTAATTTGCTCTACACCTCGGAAAAAATATTGTTTGGTTTTTTTATCAAAATGACGAGAGTGAGAGAGGTACGACCAGATTGCTGCTGATGGTGCAGAGGTGTTGGTAATAGGTTTTGTTTATACCACAGGGTACCCATACTCCGGACACAAGTTGTTAAAACAGGAGAGATAAGATAAGGTTATACAAAAAAAAAGGAATGACTCAATGTCTGATGGTTCGGGATAGAATCTTGTTAGGGTCCCAGGTGGTAATAATAAAATATCCTGTTATTATTATATTATCTGACATCACAAATTTTTGTTTATTAATAGCACGAAGCGTTTCAAAAAAAAATGTGTGATAACGCAATTCAACATCTGTTATTTAATTCAAATAACAAAAAATACGCGATCGGATCGGCAGAGACAACACGCAACAACAACACAAAAGCTTTCCTAATACCAAACTGTCAATTAATTGTTGGTTATTGCCAACTCTACAGCTTTTAGTGGCACTTGCTACAAACTACATATTTGTCCCTCAGCGAGATAGGGTTGGCGATGAAGGTGGTGTTTTCGAAATACCCAAAATTGGGGATTTAAAAACATGGATCATTTAAATAATTGGAGATTGTCAATTCCCCATTCGGGTTATAATAAAATTTGATTAAATGGCATATATTTCGGAATTGTTTTTACGTTGGGCGCCATTATTGAAAATATCAATTTTGTTCCTATTAGCACTGCACTGGGATCGACTAAAACTCAGAATTCAATTTAATTTGTTTTTGTTATGGCAACGTTGGACGCCATTGTGAGATAACGTTATTTTTTAATTGATATGTTGGGCGCCATTATGAAAAACTGTAAGTTTGTTCCTATTAGCAATGACTTGGAATCGACTAAAACCAAGAATTCAATGCAATTTGTTTTTGTTATGGCAACGTTGGGCGCCATTATGATAACGTTATTTTTGAATGAAACTGTTGTCAGATTATGTTTTTCTCATTCGATCTGGAAAACTATTTGCTTTCAATTTATTTGGCAAGGGATATGAATATTTCCGTTGGTCGCCATTCATATTTTATATATCCCTAAGGGCCACGCAATACACCTCAGGGACATATTAACGTTAGGTACGAAAAACTATTAATTTTTAAATTGAATATGAAGGACTCATGTTGGGCGCCAATTGCATTTGTTCACGAAATTAAATATTTTATATATAATAGGCGTTTATTTTTAAAGACCATACCATCAAAGAGCTTGAATTTTTTAGAGAATATTTTTCAAGGCCTATAAGCGTGATTTTTTTAAAGAACATTTTTTTCAAGTACCAGCAGACCAAAAAGCGTGGATTTTTTAAAGAATATTTTTTCAAGGACCAGCAGAACAAGAAGCGTGGATTTTTTAAAGCACATTTTTTCAAGGACCAGCAGGCCAAGACGCGTGGATTTCCAAAGAACATTTTTTCAAGAACCAGCAGACCAAGAAGGGCGGATTTTTAAAGAATATTTTTTTAAGGACCAGCAACCAAAGAAGCGTGGATTTTTTAAAGAATATTTTTTCAAGGACCAGCAGACCAAAAAGCGTGGATTTTTCTAAAGAATATTTTTTCAAGGACCAGCAGACCAAGAAGCGTGGATTTCTAAAGAATATATTTTCAAGAACCAGCAGACCAAGAAGCGTGGATTTTTTTTAAAGAATATTTTTTCAAGAACCAGCAGACCAAGAAGCGTGGATGTTTGTAAAGAATATTTTTTCAAGAACCAGCAGACCAAGAAGCGTGGATGTTTGTAAAGAATATTTTTTCAAGAACCAGCAGACCAAGAAGCGTGGATTTTTTAAAGAATATTTTTTCAAGGACCAGCAGACCAAGAAGCATGGATTTTTTTAAAGAATATTTTTTCAAGGACCAGCAGACCAAGAAGCGTGGATTTCTAAAGAATATATTTTCAAGAACCAGCAGACCAAGAAGCGTGGATTTCTAAAGAATATATTTTCAAGAACCAGCAGACCAAGAAGCGTGGATTTCTAAAGAATATTTTTTCAAGAACCAGCACACCAAGAAGCGTGGATTTTTTAAAGAATATTTTTTCAAGGACCAGCAGACCAAGAAGCGTGGATTTCTAAAGAATATATTTTCAAGAACCAGCAGACCAAGAAGCGTGGATTTTTTAAAGAATATATTTTCAAGAACCAGCAGACCAAGAAGCGTGGATTTTTTAAAGCATATTTTTTTAAGGACCAGCAGACAAAGAATCGTGGATTTTTTAAAGAATATTTTTCAGGAACCAGCAGACCAAGAAGCGTGGATTTTTTAACGAATATTTTTTCAACAACCAGCAGACCAAGTAGCGTGGATTTTCAAAGAATATTTTTTCAAGGACCAGCAGACCAAGAAGCGTGGATTTTTTAACGAATATTTTTTCAACAACCAGCAGACCAAGAAGCGTGGATTTTCAAAGAATATTTTTTCATTGACCCTCCACCATTAAGCGTAGACTTTCAAAGAATATTTTTTCAATGACCCTCCCACCATTAAGCGTGGACTTTCAAAAAATATTTTTTCAATGACCCTCCCACCATTAAGCGTGGGTTTTCATACAATATTTTTATAAGGGCAATATTGATTCGTCGGATGGACTTTTAAATAACTAGTAGAGGCAAAAGCTTAAATTAATACTATATATACTATAAATATACTAGTTCGATTACATTTTTCACATCGTCATCCCTATTCCACCTTCCAAATAAATTGCTTCGCTGACAACAGGCTGAGCATTATTGCTTTCATGCAACAATGAAAAAAAGCTTAAGCCACACGCGTCAATTTTTGTTTACTTAGGAAAGGTTAGGTCTGTAGACAAATACACACACACAGACACACGTATTTATTAGATCGCACATTGCCCCAAATATCGTACACCTTTTAGTAATGGTAATTTAGTTCAAATTTTATTTAAAGCATATCACTCAAAACATTACATAAAATTCGGAAGTATATATTTTTAATTGCCCCCCGCTCGACAAAGTGAATGTAAAAGGTGGAAAATCACAATTTGAACTTGAAATAGATAAGGGAATGCATTTATAAAAACAGCGGAAGTAAATGTGTATCGTTTTTTCGATGACCTTGAATGATATAAAAAAAGAAATAATAATAATATTGTATGATGGAAAATAAAATAATTTAGTTTATTCGAAAATCAGTTATGGATGCAGTTCTGAATGGAACTCAGTTTGAACTGTATGAATGTTACATAACATTCAAAAATGATGTCAGTCATTAGATATGAACTAGATAAAAACTTATCAGTAAAATATGTTAGAGAAATCTAGAAATTCTTCCATCGATTGTTATACGAGAATTGTTAAGAAAAGTATTGGAATTTTTATATTTACTGTGTATATAAGAGTGGATTTTTAAAAATGCATATATTTAACGAGTTTCGAATATTCCTGGTGAACATCAGACAACAACATCAGATACGAATCTAACGTCATAGGCTCAGAATTTCTAAAATGAAGATATAAATATGTTCTAGAACAACATTTTTCCTTTATGATATCGGATCCATAGTAGATCAATGCAGTTCTAGAACAGACAGAAATATTACAATGCCCAACATTTGGAACAAATATTGTTCGCTCCAATAATTATTCTCAGACGGACAGACATTTCTGAATCGACTCAAATTATCTGAAACCGATATGGCCCAAAGGCTCGAGGTCTGAAACGAGGTAAATTTTTTATTGTATCAAAGTATTTTTACCCTTATTATCGAACCCAAAGTACTAGCTACTTCGTTAGCGAATGTGGAATATATTTAAATATGTCTTTATGTCTTTTTTTATGGAAAACTCCAAATGTCGGAGGACTAATCAATCAAAAGACCAAAATCGACCATTGTTAAAATGTGATTACCATTTAGCACCAAATTTCTTGACTCGAGCTTTATAGGTTCACCCAAATCCAAATTTCTAAAATTTATTACCTTGTTGGGTGGTAATAAATTTTAGAAATTTGGATTTGGGTGAACCTAGAGAGCTCGAGTCAAGAAATTTGATTTTAACAATGGTCGATCATATTTCCCAATTTCAGGATTCCAGCCCGATCGGTTCCTTAACTTCCTACATAACTCATTTATATGAAGCAGTAGTAATCTTATTCCCAAATTTCAGTGTTCCAGCTCTAGCGGTTCTTGCGGTTTTTGACCCTCAACCCAAAATTCGTGCCGAATGAAATCCCAAAAACCCAGCCTTATCTAACACCATTTCGTCTGGGTGTTGATCTTTAACTCAGACAGAGTCAGTCAATCAGTCAGTCAATAACTTTACTCTTTTATTAATAAAGATTTATACTCTCATCATCTTTTGAACTTAGAGGACTATACGTGGGGACTTTATAATAAACATAGACCTACCTGGTGGCAGATACATATAGCGTGTTGAGAATCTGGAAGGAGCACTTCTAGTATCAAATAGTGGTGGTGAAGAAGATACCCCAGAACCAATAAGAGATTATGGTATAGATTCTATACCACCTAGCCAAGATGAGGTCAGAATAGCAATCAATCGGCTAAAAAATAATAAAGCAGCAGGTGCCGTTGGGCGAACTATTCAAGATTGATGGTCAGATCCTGGTTAGCACCAGTTCATTGGTACAATTTGGCTAGAGGAATGCATGCCCAATGATTGGAACCTCAGCATCCTGTGCCCCGTGCACAATTAAAGAGACAAGACGATATGTGCCAAGTATAGAGGAATTTGTCTCCTTCCCATCGCTTATAAAATACTATCCAGCATGCTGTGTATTATTGTATCTTATCAATTCGGCTTCAGACCTGGCAGATCCACCATAGACCAGATTTTCTCACTACGCTAAATCCTGGAAAAACCCCACGAAAAACACATCGACACATTCCACCTATTCGTCGATTATAAAGCCGCATTCGACAGATCAATCCTCTCAGAGGTATTTGAAGCCATATCTGTGTTCGGCATTTATGCGAAATTAAAACGGCTGTGCAGGACAACTTTGACTGGTACAAGGTCAGCAGTTAAAGTCGGAAATAACCTTCAATACCGAACGAGGATTCAGACAAGATGACAGTTTGTCGTAAGTTTCAGAAATTATACTCTGTACCAAACAACACATGTTACCCGCATACGCTGCTGACATCGACATAATGCGTCCAACATTACGAGCGGTAACAGCCACCTTCGAACGAATAGAGAAGAAGACTGCCAAATGGGGACTGGTCGTAAATTGCGATAATAGAAGCTCATGATATCCACGCACAAGACGTCTAGTAGACTCGGACCAACTGTGGAACTTGAAATCATCAGCTTTGAAATTCGGAGAAGAATAGTGTTGACCTACAGATGCTACTATGGTCTAAGTAAGCAATTCAAGAATAAGACCACCTCTCGCCAGACCAAACTCACACTCTACAAGACGCTGATACTACCCGTGCAGTTAAAGTCGGAAAGGATCTCTCTGAGAATATCAATACCGAACGAGGATTCTGAGAAAGTGACAGTTTGTCGCGTGACACCTGGAGAAGGTCATACGAGATGCAAATATGAACCGAAATTGCGATCAGAACACCAAACAACACATCGACATCGATGACATCGACATAATGGGTCGAACATTGCGAGCTGTAACAGCAACTTTTGAACGAATTGAGAAGGAGTCTGCCAAAGTGGGACTGGCAGTAAATGGCGAGAAGACCATGTTGATGGTATCAACGCGCAAGACGTCCAGTAGACTCGGACCAACTGTGAAACTTGAAAACTATAGCTTCGACTTAATGAATGATTCTATATACCTCGGTACCGCCATAAGCAAAACTAATAACATCAGCTTTGAAATCCGGAGAAGAATACTGTTGGCCAATAGATGCTACTATGATCTGAGTAAGGATTTTTCGAACAAGACCACCTCTCGCCAGACCAAATTCACACTCTACAAGACGATGATACTACCCGTGCTCTTGTATGGATCTGAAGCATGGGTTCTTGCGAAAGTAGATGAGGCAGCTAATGGAAAGTTTGAGAGAAAAATTCCGCCGATCTGCGTAGACGGTGAATATCGCCGTCGAATGAACCATGGTACAGCTATTCTCGGTCATCAACATAGTCAGACGTATCGAGCTGCAGCGACTACGGTGGCTAGGCCATGTTGTGAGAATGGATGAGGATGCCCCAGCTCAAAAGACAAATAAATGCGAGTCAAGTGATGGTTCACGCAGAAGGGGAAGGCCACGAATTCGATCTAAAGATCAAGTTGAAAACAACATATCGGAACATGGTTTTTCATATTGGGTGAACTGGGCACAAGACCGACCCGCCTGTAAATCTTTTTAAAGCTCGGCTTATGGAACAAACGTTTTGTCATAAGCCCAAAAGAGGCAAGTTTGATTTAAGCAAATGGAAAATTCGATTTAATTCAAACTCCGCTCACCTTCATATTTTTAAACACCAAATGGGTGTATATCAAAGGTGAGCAATATACACATCGAAATGAATGTTGTTGGTAAAATTCGTTTCTAATATAAATTCAACTTTATAATGTAGAACGTAAATTTTGATTTAAATTTTATTTTAACCTTCATTTAACTTTTTACCAAGCCAGGTATAAACCCTCTCAACATCTTCTTTATCGTTCGGAATTTTGGACATAAAACCGATTTTAATTTTCGAAACTCTTCCCTGACATACTCACTTGATTTTCAGAAGACTCTGAATCCTTAAAACCATTTCGGAACATACGTTTATGGGCCTGTTTAAACTCATTCATGAGAGCACTGTGTTGGTCATCAGTGGCAATGTGAGTGTTATGGCTCTTGGTGGAAGATTTCGATTCACCAGGTGAATTCGAATTGTTGTTCAAGCTATCACTGCGCTGTGATGGCTGACAATTCGGTTGACGTTTCTGAAGAAAAATAACAAATTTTAGAATATTTTTCAAAATACAACTCGCAAATTCTTACCGCTCTACGTTTCTTCAATTCCTCCGTTATGGCATTTGATAAACTGCAACTATCAGTCTGGGCATTCGCTCCAGATGTTGTCGATAATTCATTCTCTGCACTGGGTTTTGTCGGTGACGTGGGTAAATCGTTTATGGCCACATAATTGGCCAATGTGGCATATCTTTGCATTGTGGAAGCCAATCCACCCAATTTAATATTCGCATCTTTGAATGCAGGATGTTGAGAAGCATTCTGATGATGATTATTATTCGTTGTGTGATGCATAATTTTAGGAGCACTTGTATTTTGTATGGCAATTGGTGGTGGTACCGGTGGGATGTTACTACTCTTCATATCACCAGCTGATTGTTGATTGTTCTTTGTCAGGGTGGCTACATTGTAATCATTGTCACTGCTGGACACACTTTCACTATAACCACTTGTCAAGGAGGCATGCCGTAGTGTGGTATCTGAATTATTATTGCTCTGCGTTAAAGGTTGCGTTGTGGCCACATAAGTGTTATTTATCGAAGTACCACTCTCGGATAATTTTATAATGGTTTTATTTATCTCTTTATGGGATTTTGTCATATTCTTCATGGTATCATCGGGACGCATGGTGTTATCATTTACCATGGATTTCATGCAACGTTCTACATTCGACTTGGATCTCGATCTAGGTTCATTTTCATATAACCCCTGCTGATTCCAAATATTGTGTTTTGTAATTGTCGGGCCATGTGGTGGTGAGGGAGGTGTGACATTTGTCTCTTCCCTCACTGATGTCAGACGCTTCGATTTCACATCACCCCAACATGGACTTTGATCACCGGTCACGGAACTAGCCGAACTGTTATAACCACTCGACTCACCAGGAAATAGATCACAACCGGCACCCTTGTGTACGGTCATATCCAATTTATTGGAGCTTTTCATAACGGCCACTGCCTCGCTGAACAACACATCCGAGAAATCGATGCTATTGACAGTCAAAATTTGATCTCCTGGCCGTAGTCCAGCCTCACGGGCCACACTTTTTTCCTTGGTAAACTGAACAAAAATACCCGGTTTCCATTCGGGTCCCTTACATATGCCCAGGCCCAATTTGGTTCGGGGTGCCACATTGAGTACAATATTCACCACCCGTTCATTGCGATTGCGTAGAGTTGGATGATCCGCTGTGCTGCTACTCGATTGAAAGGAGCACTCCGATGGGGTACTGCTAATGCTGGGAATTTTCACCACATTCCAGGAAAGATTATCGGAATCCGTGCTGTAAGATAAAATGAAATGATGAAAGAGGGTAACACTGGGACATACATTTAGAAGGAAAACTTATATTCAGCATGGCTGAATATAGATTCCGATGTAAAATTTTCCATGTAACCGGGCTGAATAAGGTTTCCTGAATAGTGCAGAATAGTGTTTTCTGTAGGAAAACTGCTATTCAGCTTGGCTGAATAGTGTTTCCTATAAAAAAAAACTTCAATTCAGTCTGGCTGATTAGTGTTTTCTATAGGAAAACTGCAATTCAGCTCGGCTGAATAATGTTTTCTATCGGAAAACTGCAATTCAGCATGGCTGAATATAGATTCCGATGTAAAATTTTCCATGTAACCGGGCTGAATAAGGTTTCCTGAATAGTGCAGAATAGTGTTTTCTATAGGAAAACTGCTATTCAGCTTGGCTGAATAGTGTTTCCTATAAAAAAAACTTCAATGAATATGAGTTTCTACAGAAAATCTTCAATTCAGCCTGGCTGAATATAAGTTTCTCTCGAAAATTTTCAATTCAGCTAGACTGAATTGAGGTTTTTGGCAAAATTCTCAAAATACATACTCTTTTGATGGCAACATGCCCACACTGCGCACTTTAAGCACCAAACGATCTTGACTAGTAACAAGTTGACAGAACTCCTTGTGGATGGCATCATCAATTCTGAATCCATTGATACGCAATATTTGATCGCCAATCTGAAATATAGAAAGTAAATTATTATTAAACCAAATCTAATTGTTGAGAAAAACATAAATAAATAGGTGACACACAAACCCCAGAATAAAAGATCAATGAATTACAAATTTCAAAAAACTGACCCACATTCGAAAACGTTAAAAGAAAATTGAAAACAAAACAACATGCATACAGAATACAATTCGAAAAGTATCCGTCGCAGCTAACAATATTGTCCGCTAATTAAAATTCATGTGGAGCCACACAAGTATGCGGCAACCAGCGTTAAAGCGTCACAATAACATTCAAAGAATGTGTAGTACCGGCGGGCGGTACAGACACTCTTCGCCATACGTGAATGAGTTGCCCATAGAAGGTGATAATGATGATTCTGTTGAAGAAGCACAACAATCTATCAGGTTATGGGTTATGCTGACTGGCTGACTGACTGAAGTGAAAATTCAAATTTTGAGTACTGGTGACACAACCAGCTTCGAAGCATGCCACTTCATTACAAATTCAATTTTTATGTGGGTTCAAGAGGGAAAATATTGTTGGTGTGGAATTGAAACGAATTCAGTCAACACGTAAATAGAACACTAAAGTGCGCAAGTACTTTCACTGTTCGATTTAATGTAATAAATGTGGGAGGCTTCAATAATTTCGATATGACTTTATTTAAATTAGTTAGAAAAGAAAGTACAAATTCAACTTAGCTGAATTGACGATTTCTTATAGATAACATTATTCAGCCAGGCTGAATTGAAGTTTTCTTAAAGAAAACCTTATTCAGTCGGGCTGAATTGAAGATTTCGTATAGAAAAACTCATTCACCCAAGCTGAATTGAAGATTTCCTATAGAAAACCTTATTTAACCAGGCTGAATTGAAGATTTCCTATAGAAAACCTTATTCAGCCAGGCTGAATTGAAGATTTCCTATAGAAAACCTTATTCAGCCAGGCTGAATTGAAGATTTCCTATAGAAAACCTTATTCAGCCAGGCTGAATTGAAGATTTTCTATAGAAAACCTTATTCAGCCAGGCTGAATTGAAGGTTTCCTATAGAAAACCTTATTCAGCCAGGCTGAATTGAAGGTTTCCTATAGAAAACCTTATTCAGCCAGGCTGAATTGAAGATTTCCTATAGAAAACCTTATTCAGCCACGTTGAATTGAAGATTTCCTATAGAAAAACTTATTCAGCCAGACTGAATTGAAGATTTTCTATAGAAAATCCTATACAGCCAAGCTGAATAAAAGATTTCCTATATTCCTTATTATTTTTCTAAAAATATAATGTTATTACTTACCCTCAAACCCTTCTGTTCCGCTTCACTATTCCGATCCACATTGGAGACAAAAAATCCCGTATTATATTCCTTGCCACCTCTTACTGAAAACCCATAGGAAGGTGTGGCACTGGGTGTCACCAGCATACGACGTGTATGTGGACGAAAGAGCCGTATTAAGCGTATTCTTGTTGATGTTGGTATGGCACACCAAGATGAAGCTGCTGTGGTGCCGGTCATCATGTCACTGGAAGAACTAGTTGTAGAGCCCTGAAAGCTGCTACAATCGGTAAGTATCGAAGTGGCCATTATAAGGTACTGGTCGCTGCGTCACTGGTCACAAGAGTTAAGGAAACTGAAAAGATAAGGAAAAAATAGAGAGGTTACTAAATGGGAGGATTTTAAGGAAGGAATACAAAAGGGAGTGGGCTATCAGTTTGGTCCTCCTCAAAATATATTCTTTAAAAAAATCACACTTATGGATCTAAATATATTCTTTAAAAATCCTAGTACTTCAAAAAATATTCTTTAAAAAATTCACATTTCTTGGTCTGCAGGCCCTTCAAAATCCACGATTCTTGGTCCGCGGCCCTTCAAAAAAAATTCTTTAAAAAATCCACGCTTCTTGGTCTGCTGGCCCTTCAAAAAAATATTCTTTAAAAAATCCACGATTCTTGGTCCGCGGCCCTTCAAAAAAAATTCTTTAAAAAATCCACGCTTCTTGGTCTGCTGGCTCTTCAAAAAAATATTCTTTAAAAAACCCACGATTCTTGGTCCGCTGGCCCTTCAAAAAAATATTCTTTAAAAAATCCACGCTTCTTGGTCTGCTGGCCCTTCAAAAAAATATACTTTAAAAAATCCACGCTTTTTGGTCTGTTGGCCCTTCAAAAAAATATTATTTAAAAAATACACGCTACTTGAAAATGTTTCTTTAAAAAATCCACGCTTTTTCGTCTGCTGGTACTTCAAAAAATATTCTTTAAAAATCCACGCTTTTTCGTGCACTTCTTCATCATGTTGTAAACATAACACGCCTATGGCTCTGATAGCCCTCTTGTATCTGAACCCTGGTATTTTTCTTGCAATTCACAAATCCAAATAAATTAACCATTATTCGATCTATGCTCTCTGCCAGGTGTTATAACGAAATCCCATTATTTTTCCATTTGGAAAATTTCCCTTTTTCCACAAATATCGAAAACGAAAAAAATAAACAACAACAACGAGAAAAACGCGAAATCAAATATCATGGGAACATCAGCATGGTTATCCTCGTCGCATTGGATGGATGCGCATGATTTCCTATAACTGTAATCACACATTACAACAGGGTTCATCATCATCGTCAGGTGTGGGTATTATTAAGGTGTGCGGTTGATCCGACGGTCGGTTGCAATAAATAAATTTCTCCCAAACAGATATTTTTCTTTTCAGACTTTGTCATCATCCTCAACGTCGTCAACATCTGTTGCCTTGTGCAGCTGAAATAAGAGATGTCACTTGGCAAGTGTCGTTCCGCCACAGGAGTACAGCAACGACAACAACAACAACGTCAAGTATCATCATTACAACAATGAAATGTTGTGTTTCTTTTGATTGTATAGAAAAATTCAAAAACTAACAACTGAAAAAAAAAATGGAAATGAAAGATGATCATTTTCCATTTCAGTGTCATTTGACATAGGTTACGTGACTATCATTGTTGTCTTCTTCTTCGTCTTCTTTTTCACTTCCACTGGGGAGTCATGGAGTCAGATTTTGTTGATGCCTTGCTATTTTTTTTTCTGTTGCAATTTCCAATTTGATAAATTTGTTTTGACAGAAATGTGCACATCTTTTGTTTGTGTGTGTCGGTTGTGCCGCCACATTTTCTTATTTGCAATTTTCTTTTTAGCCATTGATGTTGTTGTTGTTATTGTTGCTCTTAACTTTCTGTTAATATAACAAATGTTTTCCTTTATTGCAAAGCCATGCACATACATATGTATGTCTGTCTCCCTGTCTGGTATATATGCCTGTATGTTTGCTTCAAAAGATGCCAATTTCAACACTTGTCCGATTTTGGTAACATTTTATGCTCATTCGACCGGGTGCCAGTGGTAATTATGGCAAAAAAATACATCGGAGACAGACATCTGAGACATTAGCACATGTGGCAAGAAGTGTGAATGAAAATTAAGTTGTAGGTATGTAAAGTGTGGTGGAATATTTTCTGAGGGACTAATAACCGATCCCCAGAACCATAAGGCTGGTTTTTTAAAGAATATTTTCTCAAGGGCCACCTGAAGTTTTTACTTTCTCAACCATATTCAGAGTAATAAGCGTGGGGTTTATATTTTAAAGGATCGGTGGGATGATAAGTATGGATTTTTTTAAATATTTTTGAAGGACTTTCACAGCCTTAGGCGTAGATTTTGTTAAAGAACATTTTTGAAGAGCCTTAGGCGTAATTTATTTTAAAGAATATATTTGAAGGACCATCAGAGCACTATGCGTAGATTTTTTAAAGAATTTGTTTCAAGGATCATCAGAATACTAGAAGTAGATTTTTTAAAGAAAAATTTTTCAAGGACCATCAGAAAACTAGGCATAGTTTTTTTAAAGAGCATTTTTTCAATGACCATCAGAACACTAAGCGTAGATTTTACGCCCTAGGCGTATATTTTTAAAGAATATTTTTTAAGGACCATAACAGCCCTAGGCGTAGATTTTTTAAAGAATATTTTTTAAGGACCATCAGAGCCCTAGGCGTAGATTTTTAAAGGAATATTTTTTAAGGACCACCAGAGCCCTAGGCGTAGATTTTTTAAAGAATATTTTTGTAAGGACCATCAGAGTCCTAGGCGTAGATTTTTTAAAGACAATTTTTAAGGAGCATCAGAGCCCTAGCCGTAGATTTTTTTAAGAATATTTTTTAAGGACCATCAGGGCCCTAGGCGTAGATTTAAAAAAAATTTAAGGACCACCAAGCCCTAGAAGTAGATTTTTAAAGAAAAAAATTTCATGGGCCATCAGAACACTAGGCGTAGATTTTTAAAGAATATTTTTGAAGGACCATCAGAGCCTAAAGAGCTGATTTTTAAAAAATATTTTTGAAGGACCTTCAAAGCATTAAGAGTAGATTTCTTAATGAATTATTTTGAAAGACCATCAGAGCATTAAGAGTAGATTTCTTAAAGAATTATTTTGAAAGACCATCAGAGCATTAAGAGTAGATTT